TTGATACAAATTCCTAATTATAAGTGGAATTTTGAAAATGATTGACTGCTCGATTTTGTCGGTTAGATCGATTTCCATGCCATCCAAACGTATTTCCTATTTGAACTTGATTGATATCCCATGGAGTTGGTGGAATCATGGTCGGATTACTGAATTGTTGTTGTTTTTATAAATTCCAACAATTAGCGGTTAAGTGCTTGCCTCCACAAAATGTACATTTACCCAACACTTGTGAAGGTGACGGGCATTCTATTACCAAATGACAGTGGCCCTGACAATTACTACACCATACATTGGTCCTAGTATTGGTTGGCTTTTGCCTCTTCTCCTTATCTTTGGCCATATTAATGGCCATTTCTTCTATTTTCTTCGTCAAGTTCAATAACAAGGCTTCATTGGAATCTTTTGAAGCTGGTGTTATTTGTTTTTCTGCCAAAGTTGACTCTTGTGTTTGATATGGAAAATATGGAGCATACGCTCTTGTGACTTGCGGTGGTAAAGCTTACAATGGAGTAACATTAATTGGCCCATGAGTATTGGTACTTGAATGGGCCACTGTTTCGATCATCTGTGGATAACTACCCACTGATCCGTTTAAAGCCGGATATTGATAATTGCTTTGAACTGGTATCATCGTGACACTCGCAGTTAAAAACTGATCATAATGGCATTCTTTCCAAACCTTGGCTCTATCAAGGGATGCAGATACCGTAATTGGTTGAGCTTCTTTTACAAATATTTTTAGCTCTGGTGGGTACAAACCATTTATTAATATAGATAATATAAATGCCTTCGAAATTTGGTGGTTCGGCCACTTATTAAGTGTATCAGCCACTCGGCAATAGTACGATTCCACCGCCTCTCCTAGGATCATTTTGCTGTTCATTAACCTTCCTCGAAGACGGTCTTCAAAACCAATTAGTCGAAAATGGGTCAAAAATGCATTCTTGAATGCTTCCCAGTTCGAAAATTGACCAACTGGTTGACAATTATACCATTCAAATGCCGTATCCTTTAAGGTTGCTGGCAACCATCGTAACCAAATATCCTCGCTTCTGCCACTATTGGCGACACATGCTGTCAAAAACTGCGACAAATGTTGATCTGGATCCGCACCCGGAAAGCCCCTAAAGGTAGGTAATGGAGCCACGTTAGTTGTGCGATCACTCACAGTACCCATTTGTACTGCTATGGGAACCGCTGGACCTCCCGTTGTCATTGAATTTGACAATGTGACACTTAATCATTTGTTAATATAGTCTGCGTCTCTCTCAAATATATTTTCCGAACTTTCCACCCTGTTCAATTTACTATTATTATCCTTGAACAAGTTTATTGGTTGAATAGGAGGTGAGAATGACGGATTTTAAAACACACTGAATTGGCCCTTATTGATCAATAATTTATGCCACTCTATGCAACCAGTTTTGATGAAATCGGTAGTTTCCGCTATTAGAAACGTACCCAATGGAGTACCCAACTCTTCTGTGATTCCTCCACTCTTAGTTAATGGTCTCAGAAGAAACCCTGGCCTATTGACCAAATTTTCCGCAAGTGCTCTTGGCAATTTCTCTAACGGTATATACTTCTCAAATATTAGATGTCGATTAGCTTTTGGGTACGCTCGAATATGACAACAGGCATGCAACCATGGCTTAATCTAGCTTTGTCTATGATTCCTTTTTAACTTTTTTTGTTGCTCGTTTCGCAACAAATTTCTTGCTTGCGATCTCTCTATTCTTTCTCTTGACTGCTGTATTTTCTTTACTGTTAAGTTCTCATTCTTAATAACCATACTCTTTCATTATATTCTTCTGCAACTGCTACCTATTTCCCATCTACTTCAACCGACAGTTAATACCTAACACTCCATACTATTATCAATTTCCCCAGCAGCGGCGCCAAAATGTGATTGTCGTTTTACTTATTCTAACTAATCTAATCAGAGTAAACTTGTATAGGGGAATTCAAACACATGGAAAGAATACCGCATGAGCTTACACGTTAGGATCACACAATTAACTATATTCCGCACTACTTAAAACACCGAAGAAACACTACAAGACTTTTTCTTGCTAATGAAACCCTTTCATTAACCGATAACCACAAAATATAATCTGCATTGTCTCAAAAGTCCACACAAAACACATAAATTCCATCCAACACCAGGAATAACCAATCTTACTCAATTAATTTGGCTTTACACAATTTCTATTTTCCCAGATTTCCTCGGTCCGAACACACACAGTTTTCAATTAACCACGATCATAATCTTCCAGTTATAATTAATCTTCACAGAATCTGATAACAACTTCCAAATTTCTCTCCTTCAATCACACAATACTTCAATTACACACCCAATATCTCATAAATCATTTCCCTGATTTATTCCACGAATTCTTTTCACAGTATTCAGAACTTTAAACAACAAAACAAAAAAAAAAACAAGAAACAGCACCAAGCTTATCTCGGCTCATACTATCACAGTCTGGCCCTTATTTCCTCTCTCCCATCCTCCTTATGCTACCACGAGATACCAATTGCTACATCTCTAATGAAAACTGCTTTTCCTAACTATTCATCTATTTTACCTACTGAACTACCTTTTCAACAGTCATCTATCTCTGTTTACACTATAAACTAAGTATCTACAATTCAGCAAATAACTACTTATTCTACAAAATGTCTTTGTAGTTGATTAATAGATTAGAAACTTGGCTAATAAGTTGGTTGTATATTGCATGTATTAGTAGCTTGTAGTACAAGCTAATCATATGGCACATAAGTAGGAAACTTGTCTTGTAAGTTAGAAACATGTTGAATGTCATATAGCACGTCTCTATATAACTCTTAATTAGAAAATATATATAAAGGCAAGAGTAAAGTCTTCTTCATTCTTATTAATATCTTTCTTATTCTTATTCTTTTTTCAATGAATTCTAGTTTTCTTATCTTTGGCAATAACCATTCTAGTTTAATATTATACCATCTTTGAATGATTATCTAATCTTATTAAGTAATATAAAAATGTTCTATTTTTTTATTCTTTTAGATTCATGTCTTAAACACTATTAAAAATTGGTAATATATAAATATTTGCATTATACTTTATATTGTATAGAAACAAGTGTATTAGCAATTATGGTATTTATTGATATTATGTTTCATCCTTTATAATAATATATGGATTTAAATTTGAAAGTAAAAGATATATTATGTGAATATAATTTTAAGTAGTTTGTTGAAAGAAGTTAAATACATTCAATGTAGAAAGTAATTCAAATTCAATTGACTTGAAAAAAGTCTTAAAGTAAGTATGACATTGTTATATTATTTAAAGACTTGCTTGAGAATGCAATGAAATCTTGGCTGCAAAAGATAAAATGTAAATTACAACAACAAAGTTCTAATAACTTTAATAGAATCCTAAATAAATTTCAATTAAAGTTGAACAATCATAATCAAAATTTGATAAAATCCACTTTAAATTTTAAAGAAATTATAAAAAAAAACATAAAAAATTATAATGAATTTTATAAAAGTCCTAAAAAAATATTAAAATATTAAAATCTTAAGAATATCCTAATTAAATTCTAAATCCTAAACCAAATCCTAATAAAATCTTAAATATTAAATTCTAAATAAAATCCTAATCAAATCTTAACTGTTAAATTTTAAATCCTAAATCCTAAGCCAAATCCTAATCAAATCTTAAATCTTAAATGAATACTTATACAATCCTACATTATATTAAAATCTCAATAATTAATAATCTAATTGTAGATTTTAACTCAAAATTTGTACACCTCTTAATTACTAACTTGACAACAAACGCAAATAATTTAAAGAAGATTAAAATTTCCAATTGTGAAATAAACCCTAAAATCTGCTTAGATTTTGACAAGCTTTTTTTTCCAACGTTGATGCCAATCTTCTAATGCCAATATCTCTTAATTTCTTAATTCAATGACTCAAAATTTGAAAAGTTGTTGGAAATAAAGTCTAATATTATTATGTATAAATATAATTTAATCCAATTGGCAGATTTTTGTACATCTTAGATATCCTTGCTAGTCTTTTAAACTCTAGTTCTTGAGACTTTAATATATTTGAATTTCAATAACTTTTGAATTAACCATTGAAATAAGCTCAAACTTACAATACACATTCAATACAACACCAATCACACAATGACAAAATTTTACTTGTAGATCATCTATCAATATAAATTTTCTCCCAAGTTTTTAATGTACTACCAAGTATATTTATCCAAATATGGTATTTGAACCTAAAATGGATAATTCAAATATATCTATTATATATATAAAAAATATTATATGTAATTTTACAAGCAAAGGCACTAAAGAATTAGATCTCATATGTTATAAAATAAGAAATTTTTTATTATACAATATTATGTGTAACTGATTTTTATTATACCATATATTTTCTTTTCTTTTGAATAGAACTACTTTTGTTTCTACTTCATTTTATACATGTTTAATTTATAAAATATTATAACTTTTTTATATTATATAATATATTAATTCAAGATTATCTTACTTGTATGTCAACGTCTATTTATTAATTTTTTCAATACATTTATATTACATTACATTACATTCAAAAATAGTTTTCAATATTTTAACATATTAAATGCATTTATACATTAAAGAATTGATTATATTAATAAAATATTAAATATTTAAATGGTATTAAATATATATATAATTAAAATATTTTAATTATATAATTATTAAAGTTAAATCATAGATTATTTATATTTTAAAACAGTATTATTACTTAAACATAATTAAGTTTATCCTCCTAACCCTAGCTGGTGGTGGCGAGGATTGGGGCCTGCGACCCGCCGCAGCAGCCCAACCCCGCCTCCGACGGGCTGGAACGGGGCACGGAGCTGGGGAGGCATGGGTTATTTCAGGATGGATGAATATCATCCCCTAACAGCCCAGTGCAATCTAAGTCCTGGTTCGCCCCATCCCAGAACCCAGTCGGGACTTAGTCGTGAGGAGGTGGAAAGGTAGCAGACCAAGCAACAAGAGCACAGCAGAGGGCACAAGTGCGAAATTTTGTTTCAGGTTTAGTCCGATCGTGGCTCTGTGCTCATGTTTCCGCTCGCTGAATCTAGGGACATGGACGTGTCGTCGATCGCCTGTTTAAGTGGCGAGGGAAAGGTCTCAGGGAGGATGCTCTGACGACTCTTCACGTCGATCTGCTCGCTAAAGGGTAAATATTTCGTTGTTGCGTGAATTCTCGGACTCAGTTTGCCTGTGAAGGTAGTGAAGAAGTTGATAAATCTCGCTTTCTGTGGGCTGTGATGTGATGGATCGTCTTTGAGCCGAAACGTGAGGTGGTGTAGTGAGTAGGAAGCGTAGCATTGAGCAGAACGGGCTTCATTTTTGACATGGATATATTTGGTCTTTGTTGCATGCTAATCTCTGGGAAGTGGACATCGCTTTTGAGGGTCTGAGCATTGATCCCCGATTGGTAGTTCAATCTACCTGTAGTTGAGTAGATTTTTGTTTTATCTATTTATTTATTTATTCATTTTTCTTGCATCAGTCCGCTAGTTGGACGGCGCATTTTGGATAGGAGGATGTTGGTTGGAGATTGAGTGAATATCCCCAAAGGTTCCAGTAATCTGAGTTTTGTACCATTTTAGTACTTGACGTCCCTACTTAGACTGTATGGGGTTACACTGATAAAATACTTAGAGATATTTATGAGCCTACAATAAGCTTTTTGATTGGGAAGTATATTCCGTGAGTTTGTAGTGGGAGCAGCACTTTCTACGTGCGCATGTTAACGAATAGACAAATTTTCTCATGTGATTCTTTCAGTGAGATGATAATTCGAAGTTCAACCACGTGAGTAAATGTGCGTGTCTGTGTGTTTCAACCATACACGAAGACCGCGGACTGCAGAAAGTTGAAATGCAAGATAGGTCTCTACTGGCTGGGTTTTCTCAAGAGTTAGAAGTTCATCCAGGTTTAAAGCGTTCAAAGCGAAGTTCCTCCTTGTTACAAGACATGATTCCTTTTTAATGGTTTTAACTTGAATTTTGTGACATAACTTTAAGTTCAAAGGCTGACCTCGAACCCTTTGACCGTAAAATGGGGGCACAAGATGTGAAGACAAACTACTTTCATCGACGAATTGTATCTGTATGAACTATTTATTCATCGAGATGGACTTAGAGAACAGCGATTGACCACACAAGTCTTACGTGCTGGTCCTCTTTTTTTTGACATGGTGATCAAGGTTTTTACGTGAAATGAAGAGAGATGTTGTTTTGGGAAGTTGGTGAATAATACATGAGTTTCGTATGCAGGTACTATACGAGCAGAGGTTCCATTGGGACCCGTCCGCAGGAAGTTTGTCTTAGGTTTTTTTCTTCTGTCGGCGCAAGGTTAAGGTAGACTAGCAGATCAGGAGATTGAGCAGGTGGTAGCGAGGAGTAAGCAGTGGCTCGGGAATATTTTGAGGTCTGGCTTGGAGCCGTAGCAGTGGGTCTTGTGTCGTTCGGAAGCTCCGACACACATGATTCTGTGGTAGTACGAACGTTCTGGTAAGATCGGCATTGAATTCATACACAAGTTGAATATTGTGATTTAAATGTAGAGAATTGTTGCGCGAGCTTACTTCCTTCTGCCAATGTGAACGCCGCTAATTGTTGTCCGGAGATTGGATAGAATATTGTATGAATGTTTAATACAGATAGAATTTGCCATCGATTGTGGGCGGGTTCATTGTTGGAGGGCGTTGGATTTTCTTCGATCAGTATGCTGGATATTGGGATTTCTGAAGGTAGGAGCCGCTTGATGTAAACTTCCTGGAAAGTTTAGAATCATCGAAATAGGAACTGAGGAAATTGTGGCAACGAATCAAATGACAAGCGTTGCAGTGCGTGGGGAGTTTGGATCACATAGTTTAGCAGTAGTTGTGGGAGCTCAACTTTCGGATTGTCATGAGTGTTTTGTGTCGCCGAAGCCGCATAAACAATGGTTCCAACAAGCTTAAGAGCCATCGAGATGGGAGTGTTGAGGTAATTGGAGCGGGCTGCTGGAGTGAAGGGAGGCCCTCAACCTCAAGCAAATAGGCTGTGATAAGTAAGAAAAGAGAAAAGAATTGAAATTTTTATATTTTGTGTATGTGAGTTGGTAAGGTGATCTAGTTTGTGATTGTGTTTTTTTTTTTTTTTTTTTTTTTTTTTTGCTATTAAATTGTTTGTTATTTAATAATTTATTGTGATTGTTGTGAATTAGTCATTAAGATTAAGAGAAAGGGTTGTTAGAGTTGTTGAGAGATAGAGCTTGTTGGTATATATTGGGTATGTTAATGTATATTAATGTTTGTTTGAGTAAGGATGGTTTAGTAGTTGTAAGTTTTTATACCATTTATATAAAGACATATTAAACAAAAACCAATGTATAATTCTATGCAAGAATATTAAACTTGTAATGAAGGCATATGATTACTTGATGACTTACAGTAATGGTGGATTAAAATATGAAGAATTATTGAGTGAATTGTTTATTATATTGAATAAAATTTATTTACTTGTAAAGAATTGTGGAAAAAAGAAATGGTCTAAAGCAGCAATAATTCAATTGAAGAACAAAGAGTCATTCAAAGAACTTATATTAAAGTGTTGTTATGAAGCAAGAAGTGATATGCTTTTGAAGGACTTGGTAAAATATTTGAAGGCAAAGTATTTAGTAATTTTAATGTTGTAAGCTATGATAAAGTAGAAGGTGATGAACAATATTTATATGAAAGGTTGTCTCTTTTATATGATAAAGAAGATTTTGAAATATGTAGATTGGCAGAGCATCTATTATAAAAGTTGGTAGACTTTCATTGCACAGAAGGTGGAGAATTAGATGATTTGAAACTATCATCATATATTGAAAGTATTAAAATTGTAAAGTACATAGGTAAAGGATCCTGTAAAAAAGTATATAAATCAAAATGGTTTGGACTTTTGTAAGCAATCAAAAAGATGAAGAGTATGCATATAAAATCTTTTATCAAAGAAGTAAACATCTTAGAAAGGCTTAGCTATCTCAATTTAATATTATATTATTTTACAATAAAAAATAAAGCAAATGAAAATAGTGGATGTTTTGCATTTAAAATAAAGAATGATCATGTATATTTGGAGATGGAATTGATAAAAACAAGTTTAAGAAATATGTTAGAAACAAATAGAAAAGCATCTTACATATTTTTTATTGATATCATATATCAAATTGCAAAAAGAATGTGTTACTTGCATGATATGCACATTGCACATTGTGATTTGAAACTTGATAATATTTTGGTGAATATTGAGGAAAAGAAAGTGGTAAACAAGTTTATTGAACATGCTATTGTAAAAGTGATTAATTTTGGAATATCTAAGATTGAAGTTAGTAGTAATCCAAAAACAATAGAAAATAATCATATTTATGGTAGTACACCTTATATAGCCCCTAAAATATTGAAGAATAAACATTAAATAATGACAATGTGTCCTTTTGAAGCAAATGTGTTTTCATTTGCAATGGTGTATTTTAAGATTCTTTTCAAAAGAGATCCATTTGATGATTGTAGGAGGGATGAAATATTGGAAAGAATAGAAAGAGATGAGAGACCAAAATTACCTTCAAATTGTGATGAATTAACAAAACTCATCAAAGAATGTTGGAACTTGAATCCATTGCATCGACCTAAGTTTGCAAAAAATTATGAAAGATTGATAGTGTTAAAGAAAGAATTGATAGGTGGAGTTATTGCAGCAAAAATACCATATTTTTGTGCATCAAAGGACAAAAGTCATGAAGGTATAGAATTACAACAAATATACAATAGATTGCTAGTTCCACAACCAATTCTATTAAATGAGGTAAAAATTTCTTGAATTAATTTAATTAATTTTTTATTTTTTATTGTTTACAAACTTACTTGCTATAGGCCTAGTTTAATTGCCTTCATTAGAGAACTAATTTGAAGATCTAAATTAAAATATAATGTATGCTTTATGTAATTTTTTATTTTATCTAGTATATTGATATATGATTTAATTTCTTATTGTAGGTTGAGACAATTAATGAAGAAATTCTTGATAGAAAACATTGCTTAATGCAATTATTAGACCTTTGTAGATACAAATTAAAGGCATTGTGTCTTATTAGAGTGGGTGGATTAGGTAAGACAACAATTGCAAAAGCTACATTAAATGATGTGAAGTACATGTATAATGCTTCATGCTCTATTGAGTGTATTAAAAGTAATAGTGATTATTATAAAATCACTTGCAACATCTTAGAATAATTTAAAGTTAAAACTAAAACAAAGGATTAAAAAAAATTACAAGAAAAGTTGAAATTATTTTTGACCAAAAATAAAGTTATTATAGTCTTTGACAATATAAAGAATCAAAGTCAAATTAAAGATGTTGAGCCTATGGATGAATTATTTGCTATGAGTGGTAATACATTTATTATGACAACTTGAGATTGGAAAGTTATGGAATTTTGTAAGATAAATATTAAAGAACTTGATGAAAAAACAAGTTTGAGGTTGTTTATTACTTATTCTTCTGGATATAATCAAAAAGATTATAAAAGCAAGCAATGGCCTATCATTGAGCTTAAAAGTTATGGATGCATATTTAAGAAAGAAAAAAAGTTTGAGATGTTGAGAGCATGCTTTTCAAAGGTTGAAGAGAGGAAGAGAGTTGGATGGAGATGAAAAGAATATTGACTACAAGATTTGGAATATATTGAGAATAAGTTTTGGTAATTTGAAAGTTAAAGAAAAGAATATGTTTTTGGACATATGTTATTTCTTTTGTAATGATATATATCTACAAGGCATCTTAAAAGAAAGGGCATTGCAAGTATGGTCCAACTTTAAAGAAAATATATTAGAAGATATGGAATATACATTAAATACATTTGTAAATCAATCATTGATAATAGTAGATAAAGATAGAATTTTAAAAGTATATGATCAATTATGTAACATGGATAGAAAGTTTGTTGAAACAAAAATGGAATATAAGAGTAATTAAATATTGAAAATGAATGAAGAGGCTTTGCATGGAATTAGCAAAAAGGTAATGTACTTGACCATCATTGAAATGGCATGTATGGAACTAATAATGATAGAAATTTATTTAGTTTCAAAGTTTAGAAATATAATACATTTGTTTTGTTTTGATATTATTGTATGTTAGAAGTGCATGTTGATGTAAAATTGTTTATTAAATTATCAAATTTATATTGTTATAAAATTTGTGTATATATCAAATTGACTTCTAATATATAAAATCTACACTTTTGATATATTTGAATCATCTTGTCTTATAGTTGGAGGGATTATTTTGCAAAAATACAAATAACAAGTTTGATAAAATAAAAAGTGGATATTTTTTATCACTTCAATTATTAATTTATAATGATGGTAATCTTACATCAAGAAATAACTTGAGAAGATTAGGCACATTTTTAAAGTTAACAAGACAATCAATCAACTTAAGATGTTTTATTTTGAACCTATCTTATAAAGTTTTTATTTATAAAGAAGTACTAGATAAATTATGGCACATGCTAAATAATAAAGATGTTTGGAAGAAGTTCAAGTCTCTAAATATCTTTAAATTAAAAAAATATACCTTCATACAAGAATTTTTAAAGTCATTTTTTGAAATGGATAGACTATTGAAATTTAATTTAGAAGGATGTTCAAACTTGATGTTACTACTAAACAAAATAGAATATTTGACTACATTAAAAAGACTAAATTTGAAATATTATTGTAATTTGAATGAATTGCCAAAATATATAAAAAAATCTTATTTCTTTGTAAGAACTTATGATGCAAAATTACTACAACTAACTTCAATATCTAATGAATTGGACAATCTCACATCTTTGAATATTCTTGATATGTTAAGTTGTATAAACTTAATCTCATTGCCAAATGAATTTAGCAACCTCACATTTTTTACTATCTTTAACATGTCAAGTTGTAGAAGTTTGACTTCATTGCCAAATGAATTCGGCAACCTCACATCTTTGACTATCTTTGCTATGTCAAATTATATAAACTTGATATTATTGCCAAATAAATTAGACAATTTTACATCTTTAAATATCCTTGATATGTCAAGTTATATAAACTTAATATCATTCTTGAATGAATTAGACAAACTAACATCTTTGACTATCTTTAATATATCAACTTGTTTAAACTTGACATTATTGCCAAATGAATTGAACAATCTTATATCTTTGACTATCCTTGATATGTCAAGTTATATAAACTTGAAATCATTGCCAAATGAATTGAACAACCTCACATCTTTGACTATCTTTAATATATTGAGTTGTAGATACTTGACATCATTGCCAAATAAATTAGGTAACCTTTTATCTTTGACTACTCTTGATATGTCAAGTTCTATAAACTTGATTTTATTTCCAAATGAATTAGGCAACTTCACATCTTTCACTACCATTCATATATTGAGTTATAGAAACTTGACATTATTGCCAAATGAACTGAGCAATCTCACATCTTTAACTACCCTTGATATTGTTAGGGACATAGTCCTTAGAACTTTCTAGAGACAAGCTTCTAGAACCTTCTAGAAGCAAGTCTCTGGAACCTTCTAGAAGCTTCTTAGTTAGTAGAAGATGTTAGGGACATAGTCCTTAGAACCTTCTAGAGATAAGTTTCTAGAACCTTCTAGAAGCAAGTCTCTGGAACCTTCTAGAAGCTTCCTAGTTGGTAGAAGTTGCTTGAGAAGCTTCCTAAATAGGAGTATATATTGGAATCGAGGCTGAAGAGTTCTTCAGTCTTGACAACACATGTCTTGGAGCTCTAGCTCACCTCTTTGGTGTTGTTCTTGTATTCATCTGATTAATCTAGTTCTTGTCAGTTCTTCTTGAACTTCTTAGTAGATATCAAGTCTGTATTCTATATCCGTGACAATTTATCGAGACTTCACTCACCTCATATTTCAGAGCTAGTTTCTTCTTTGTTACAGTGTGGATTACCCCTCTGCTTAGAAGTGTACTAACACTTTAGAGGTTGCGGATTACCCTCCTCTAAACTGATACTTCTTTTGTTACAATACTGGAGTCTTATTCTTCTTGGAGAGAGTGGATTACCCCTTTTCTTGAAGCTCTTAAGGTATTTTAGAGGTTGCGGAGTACCCTCCTCTAAACCAATATTGTCTTCTTATAGAGTCATTTCTGTCCTTCTCTTAGAATGGTCGGGGGCCAAGACATTAGTATGACGGAAAGTTCAGAGTCTAAGTTAGATGCTATCATGAATGCCCTCGCTACGTTATTGCAAAGAACTGTAGAGATTGAAGGAGTCATGGCAAGGCTTCATAATGATGGAGCATCTAGAATGGCACAATCTAGGTTGCAGCAGCCTCAAACTTCTACACTTGGAGAAGCAACTTTACCTCAGG